GTCACGTAGGTAAAAAAAAATGAAATTAAATTAATTTTAATTAAAAAAAATGAAATTTAAATTAATTTTCATTTCACTTTTTTTTTTTACCCACGTGACTTTACCGATAGAACTAAGAGTATGAATCCTTGCAGTCACGAAAGCTTCAAATCTAGAGTTAAAACTATTTACGTTTCTTTTTAATTTTTTAATCAGTTTTTTTATAATACATTTTTTTTTTTTTTACCGGGTGTAAAGCCACGGGAGCTACGTCGCTCTTTATCCAGAAGCGACCGACCCCCCACCCCCCCCCCGGCGAAATCACCAACGACAGCTCGAAGGAGCGGGCTTAACCGTCGTCCGAGCGGGCGCATTTCTTTTAATGCAGCCACCAAAGAACCCTAAAAAAACCCCCGTGACGTCGTCTCAGCGGTCGCAAATGGGTACCCGATACCCGGCTACCCGTACCTGGCCGGGTACGGGTACCCGTTTGCGGCCCTGGTGCGGCCGGGTACGGGTAGGCCGTGAGTCATTGGTGAGTAACCGTTTGTCACTCATTTCCCAACGTCTTGTCTCTTCTCACAATTCAAGTTCCTAGAATCAACCCACCCGCGCCTGCAACGTGGCTTCATCCCAGAGGTCGCAATCGGGTACCCGATACCCGTACCCTACCCGTACCCGGCCGGGTACGGGTACCCGTTTGCAACCGGGCACGGGTAAGGAATCAAAACCCGTTTGCGACCTCTGCGTCGTCTCGAAACGCCGTAGGGGGTAAAAGACCGCGGGGGCTCTCACTTGTTGAGGCAGGGCGAGTCGGCGGGGAACTGGCACTCGGGCCCCGTGTGTTTGGCGGGGCAGAAGCAGTGGGCCCCCAGGACGGGGCCCTGGACGCAGAACCCGCCGTTGAGGCAGGTGAGGTTGCCGCAGGTGTAGGAGCTGTTCTCGCACGTGTAGCCATGGTAACCCTGCGGGCAGAGGTGCGCGCGTGAGTCCGTGCGGGTCTACGGGTCTCTGTGCGGGTCCACGGGTCTCTGTGCGAGTCCACGGGTCTCTGTGCGAGTCCACGGGTCTCTGTGCGAGTCCACGGGTCTCTGTGCGAGTCCACGGGTCTCTGTGCGAGTCCACGGGTCTCTGTGCGAGTCCACGGGTCTCTGTGCGAGTCCACGGGTCTCTGTGCGAATCCACGGGTCTCTGTGCGAGTCCACGGGTCTCTGTGCGAGTCCACGGGTCTCTGTGCGAGTCCACGGGTCTCTCTGCGAGTCCACGGGTCTCTGTGCGAGTCCACGGGTCTCTGTGCGAGTCTACGGGTCTCTGTGCGAGTCTACGGGTCTCTGTGCGAGTCTACGGGTCTCTGTGCGAGTCTACGGGTCTCTGTGCGAGTCTACGGGTCTCTGTGTGAGTCTACGGGTCTCTGTGCGAGTCTACGGGTCTCTGTGCAAGTCTACGGGTCTCTGTACGAGTCTACGGGTCTCTGTACGAGTCTAAGGGTCTCTGTGTGAGTATACAGGTCTCTATAGAAGTCTACGGGTCTCTGTGCGAGTCTACGGGTCTCTGTGTGGGTCTACGGGTCTCCATGTGAGTCTACAGGTCTCCGTGCGAGTCTACGGCTCTCTGTGAAAGTCCTATATGCGACTATCTACGTGTAAATATTTGTAGGGGCGTCTCTCACCTGCGGACACTTGCAGATGAAGCCGTGCGGCGTGTTGATGGTGACCATGCACGCGCCGCCGTTCTTGCACGGCTGGGACTGGCACGTGTCCACGATGTTCTCGCAGTGCCGCCCTGCGCACAAGTGGCACACGCGATTCAAGCGATGCCCCCCAGCTGAGCGGAGATCAACAAAGACCCCCGCACCCCCACTACTCTCCTCCCACCACTCGCAATTGGTGAGGCGACGTAATTTTAAAGGCGCCATAAAAACTATTATCATTTCGGTTGTCGGATCCGCTGGCACGCATCCACGCAGCGGTACGAGCAATCATTTTGAAGCCGCACATTTCAATTTAAATGTTTTATTATTATACTAGCTGTACTACCCGGCTTCGCCCGGGACTTGTATTCACCACGCCCGGCCGGCTTTGTCTCCCCAGTGGCGATGTTCACACAGCACACCAGTTAATTGTTTGAGGCCGAGTCGACCTAGGGGAGGCCCAGGATCGGTTCAAATAATCGTCACCGGTGGTGGCCGTGAGCGGGAATCGAACTCGGGTCGCCGAGTTCGTAGCGCGGCATGCTAACCACTACACTACGATGCGTTACGCTTCCACGTGCGCGGGTCACGTGACAGATGTGACGTCACAGCTCACTTGCCATGCTTAAAAAATAGATGCATTATTGAGCTTCCCGACACCAAAAAATAACAAAAGTGTATTTTTATAATGTTTGCATGGTGTACAGTCTGGAAAGTACCCACATGGCAAATTTCAAGTTTGTTGCATGTCGGGAAGTACGCTAAACATTTTGAACAGACACACATACTCACAACTTTGCCCTTTATATATGTATGGAGATATTAAATTTCGATTTAAAGCTTTCGTGACTGCAGGGATTCATCTTCTTGGTTCTTTTGGTCTTCACCTGAGGACGGCTGCTTGCGTTGTGGCCGAAACGTCGTGAGAATTATTTTATCATGTTATATTTTTATTATTTTATTACTTCTCTTCTACGTGACTTTACCGAAAGAACCAAGAAGATATGGAGACATTATTCCGGTTGTGGGATCCGCTGGCACGCGACTCACCGGAATAGCCGGGCCGGCAGCGGCACTTGTAGTCGTTGACGAGCTGCACGCAGTCCAGAGTGCCGGGCGGCTGGCACGGGTTGGAGAGGCACTCGTTGACGTCGCCCTCGCAACGCTCGCCCACGAAGCCGGGCGCGCACGAGCACGCGTAGCCCCCGACGCGGTCCTCGCACGAGCCGCCGTTGAAGCAGCGAGGTTCCAGCGTCACCGGGTCCACGCTCGGCAGGCAGTCGTTGCGGTTGATCTCGCAACGCACGCCTTGGGGAGGGAGAGGGGATGGGGACGTTACGGGCGGCCGCGTCCAGGTCGGTCCTCTGCGGAGGAGGCTCGTGAGGGACGCTGCTCCAGCAACGACGAAAGGCGGAGTTCAGCGACGCTCGCAACGACGAGAGGAGCGCCGGGCGGATGAAACGCATCAAGTTGCTAAACTTCTGGCTATCACAAACGATAGCGAAACCAAGTGGTTTATATTTCGATTTAAAGCTTTCGTGACCGCAGGGATTCATCTTCTTGGTTCTTTCGGTAAAGTCACGTAGAAGGGAAATAATGAAATAATAAAATAATAAAATACAATCCCTTTGTTGCTGCTAATCCTACATAATGCACGGACATAATATGACTTTGAGACCCCCCCCACCTCCTACGCATTCCACAAGTAGTGACTAATCCCATATCTGCATTTTCCATAAATATGCTAAATGCCTCTGTTGATATGCAATATTCCTTTGTCAAGGCGCCCTTCCTCCCCTAACCCAGCTTAAATATACGCTGCCAAGCTTGGTGGTGTTCATTCAGACGCTGTCTTTCCGACAGACCTGTTCTTCACCTGAGGACGGCTGCTTGCGTTGTGGCCGAAACGTTGTGAGAATTGTATTTTATTATGTTGAATGTTTATTATTTTATTATTTCCCTTCTATGTGACTTTACCGAAAGAACCAAGAAGACAAGTGGCTTATCTTCATGTGGAAATTGATAGCGGCCAATTGCTTTAAATGTGGAGGGAAAAACAGGACCCCGAGAAAATCGACTCGATCACGGGGGAGAGAGAGAGACACATGTAAACTCCAAATATACAGCAGCAGGCATCAGGGTCGGGATTGAACCCACAACCTCCTGCACACCAGGCGAGGTAGTTAACATCTCCTAGCCACCACGGCATGTGCGTCTGTCCCGTGACCTCCTGGCCAGCTAACCTTTGATACTTCACGCGGCCTCAAAGTTCACCTGGGCCTGGCGCAAGGTACGCGGGGATGTCACCGCCGCTTGCCGGTGAACGGCGGCGGTGGTTGTTGTTGTTGTTGTGGTGGTTGTTGTTGTGGTTGTTGTTGTTGTGGTCGTGCTCATCCTTACCCTCTGTGCCAGGGGGACATGAGCAGATGTATCTGTTGACCAGGTCGATGCACGTTCCTCCATTCTCGCAGGGCTGCGACTGGCACTCGTTAATCTCCTTTTCGCAGTTCACGCCGTGATACCCTGGCACACACTGCACAAAGACAAAGACCCCCGCGCCCCCGCGCGCAGCGTACACAATTAACAGACAGTCGGGGAAAGCGCCGTCGGCGAGTAGCGGGCGCCTACAAAACGCCGGGCACCGCGCCCGGCCGCCTCTGTCTCCCGAGTGGCGACGTTTGCCCACGGCACCCACCGGGCGCTCGTGCGAGTTTCCAAGTCGACCGAGCGGAGGTCGAGAGCCGGGTTCACGTAATCGTCACCCGCAGGCAGAGGACAAACATCCCCCGCCCGCCCGCCGGTTCGATTAGTATACTCGAAAGGGGTCGAGCGGTGGCGTTAGCGAGCGCCCTATTAATGTTCCGGAGACCGCAAGAAAGGCGGGGGCATGCGGACCGCCGTGCCACCAGCACCGCCGAACTACCCCTGGGTTCGAGTCCAGGTCGGAGAGGAGGAGAGGCACAACGGGGGCGAACGAACGAACGAGCGAGCAAATGAACGAACGAGCAAATGAGCGGGCTGGCGAACGAGTGGACGAGTTTCGATTTAAAGCTTTCGTGACTGCAGGGATTCATCTTCTTGGTTCTTTCGGTAAAGTCACGTAGAATGGAAATAATAAAATAATACAAATAATACATAATAAAGTAATTATAATATTTTTCTTATTTTATTATTTCCATTCTACGTGACTTTACCGAAAGAACCAAGAAGATGAGCGGACGAGCGTGCGAGCGGACGAACGAGCGAGCGAACGAGCGGACGAGCGAGCGGACGAGCGAGCGAATGAACGAGCGGACGACGATCAGCACCTCGCACGAGAAGCCACCCAGGTAGTCGTTGCAGGTCGCCCCGTTCTGGCAGGGGTTGGACTCGCACTCATCCACCTCCTCCTCGCAGTAGCTGCCCGTGAAGCCGGCCTGGCAGTGGCACGTGTGGCTGTTGCCCACGTTCATGCAGCTGCCGCTGTGCTGGCAGAGCCGCGCCACCGACACGCCTGTGACACGCGTGTGCCCGCACGCACGCAGAAGACAAAGGTTCCCCCCCCCAACCGTTATAACCTGAACGCACTGTTGGGGCAAGTGCTGTTAGCGAGTAGCACCTATGAAGGCCACCACGGCACACGAGGGTGTGGATGACTATGGCGATGACGACGACGACACTGATGACGACTATGGCGGTGACGTCGCTGATGATGATAACGATGATGACGACGACGCTGATGACGACTATGGTGATGACGTCGTCGATGATGATATCGATGATGACGACGACGCTGATGACGACTATGGCGATGACGTCGTTGATGATGACGTCGTTGATGATGATAACGATGATGCTGGTGCCGACGACAAATGACGATCATGACGACAACAACTATGGCGGTGACGTCACTGATGATGACGACTATGGCGGTGACGTCACTGATGATGATAACGATGATGCCGATGATGACGCTGGTGCCGATGACAAATGACGATCATGACGACGACGACGATGGCGGCTATGACGCTGATGATGATAACGATGATAACGATGATGACAATGATGACGATGATGACGCTGGTGCCGATGACAATGACGATCATGACGACGACGGTGGCTACGACGCTGATGATGATAACGATGATGACGATGATGACGACGACGCTGGTGCCGATGACAATGACGATCATGACGACGACGGTGGCTACGACGCTGATGATGATAACGATGATGACGACGACGCTGATGATGACTATGGCGGTGACGTCACTGATGATGATAACGATGATGACGATGCTGCCGATGATGACGATGATGCCGATGACAAATGACGATCATGACGACGACGACGATGGCGGCTATGACGCTGATGATGATAACGATGATGACGATGATGAGGCTGGTGCCGACGACGACGACGCTGACCGAATCGGAGGGCGGCCACTTCGCAGGAGACGTTGGGCACGTCGCAGTAGAGGCCCGTCCAGCCGCTGGGGCACTCGCAACGGAAGGCGGTGGCCGACTGCGAGCACGTGCCGCCGTTCTTGCACGGCGCTGCCACGCACCAGTCCACCAGGCTCTGCACGCACGCACGCAACGCGAGAGACAGGGACACAGAGAGACGGCGCGCAGAGTCGTAAGCATCGTCAGTTTGGTCGTCGTCATCATCAGCGTCATCAGTCATCGTTTGCATTGGCGTCATCGTCAGCGTCATCATCAACGTTGTCATTGTCGTCGGCATCATCATCAGCGTCGTCATCATCATCATCAACGTTGTTATTGCCAGCGTCATCATCATCGTCAGTTTCGTTGTCATCATCAGCGTCATCAGTCATTGTTAGCATTTTCGTCATCGTTTGCATTTTCGTCACCGTTTGCATTGGCATCATCGTCACTGTCATCATCGTCGTCATCATCATCAACGTTGTCATTGTGGTCGGCGTCATCATCAGCGTAATCATCATCATCATCAACGTTGTTATCATCAGCGTCATCATCATCGTTATCATCATCGTCAGTTTCGTCGTCATCATCAGCGTCATCCGTCATCGGAAGCATTTTCGTCATCGTTTGCATTGTCGTCATCGTCACTGTCATCATCGTCGTCATCATCATCAACGTTGTCATTGTCGTCATGGTCATCATCAGCATAATAATCATCATCATCAACGTTGTCATTGTTGTCGTCGGCGTCATCATCAGCGTCATCATCATCAGCGTCATTGTCGTTAGTGTCACTATCACTACACGACCACTTTCAATAACCCCTCTCTTTATTTAAACACTATCATCTCATGTACACTTCTACAATTATTGTAAAGCGCCTTGAACCAAGGCGCTGCTATATAAATCTACGCAAGCTCGTCACTGTCATTGTCAGCGTCGTCATCATCATTGTTGTAAACATCGCCATTCATCAGCGTCACCATCACCGCCATCAGTATCGTCAATCATCATCGCCGGCGTCGTCATCATCGCCGACAACGTCATGATGAGCGTAAGCAACGGAGACCCCAGGGGAGGGGCGGGGGGGGGGGGTACAGGCATCTTCTGGCCAAACCCCACGTGGCCGGGAGGGGAGACTGTACCCCCTGACTACCCCTCGGGGTTCCTACAACAACAGGAAACAGGAAGGCCACACACACACAAAGACAAAGATCCCCGCCCCCCACCGTGTAGCCTTAACAAGTGCTGTTAAGCGAGCACCTACGAAGGCCGACATGGCGTACGAGGGGGTGGGTGGCCAACACCACGCCCGGCCGCCTTTGTCTCCCCAGTGGTGGTGTTTACACACCACACCGGCTACACTCCTTCGTATGTCTGTACGTTTAACTTCTTTCGCACCGTACGTAGCCAACCGTGCTAATCGGAGGTTCGGGGGAAAGACAACAAACTAGGCATTTGAGGCCTAGGTGAAGCCCACGGCCGGTTCAGATAATCGTCACTGGTGGTGGTGGTTGTGGCCGTGAGCGGGAATCCAACTCGGGTTTGCCGGTAGTGCATATATAGCCTGAACAGACCGTTGGGGCGAGTGCCTTTGAAGGCCGGCATGGCACACGAGGGGGGGGGGGGGGGGGGGTGGGTGGCCAGCACCACGCCTGGCCACCTTTGTCACACAAGAACAACAAACAAAGATCCTCCGTATAGTTAACAGACTGTAGGGGCAAGTGCTGTTAGCCAGCGCCTATGAAGGCCGGCACGGCACACGAGGGGGTGGGTTGCTAGCAACCAAGCTGGCCGCCTTTGTCTCCCTAGTGGCGATGTTTACTACACACCGCACCAGGTAGTTATTTGAGGCCGAGTCGACCTAGGGGAGGCCCACGACCGGTTCAGATAATCGTCACCGGCCAGTGGTGGCCGTGAGCGGGAATCAAACTCGGGTCGGTGGGTTCGTAGTGAAGCGTGGCGCTAACCGCTAACACCTCCGCTCCCCGCCACACACACACACACACAGGCGCACGCACACACAGGCGCACGCACACACACACAGGCGCACGCACACACAGGCGCACACACACAGGGGCACGCACACACACACACAGGCGCACACACACAGGCGCACGTGCACACACACACAGGCGCACGCACACACACACACAAGCGCACACACAGGCGCACCGGCGCACACACACACACAGTCGCACGCACACACACACATAGGCGCACGCACACACACACACAGGCGCACACACAGTCGCACGCACGCACACACACACACAGTCGCACACACACACAGTCGCACACACACACATACGCGCGTGCCCGACCTGGCAGTTGTTGCCCGTGTATCCGTGTGGGCACGTGCACTTGTACGAGCCCAGCCCGTCGAGGCAGGTGGCGCCGTTGACGCACGGCTGCGAGTCGCACTCGTTGATGTCGTACTGGCAGTTGGCGCCGCTGTAGCCGGCGCGGCACGTGCAGCTGTAGCTGCTGATGCCGTCCACGCACGAGCCGCCGTTGAAGCAGGAGCTGAGCGGGAGAGAGGGAGAGACGGAGAGAGCGAGACGGAGATAAATATGTACATAGAAAACAGGGAGAACATAGGCAGAGAGTAGGGAGAGAGGGGAGGTAGAGAGGGGGGGGGGGGGTAAGGAGGAGCAGAGCTTGAAATCAGTCGTGCAATCTTTCATTTAAACATGGGGGCACATAAAGCAAAGCATTGAAAAAAAAACAAAAAAATACGAAATGATGAACGAAGCAAAGTGCCGACTACACCGAGCATCTTCTTGTTTCCACTGTTCGTAAACAAAAGAGAGGGAGAGAAGATGGAGGGAGGGAGAGATGCAGATAGACAGAAATTTTATAGATTGGACGGTTCTGGGAGAGGCGGGGAGAGTTTGGAAGACGGAGCGGGTATGTCCACCAACACACACACACACACGCTCACCAACACACACGCTCACCAACACACACACACACACACGCACGCTCACCAACACACACATACACGCGCGCTCACCAACACACACATACACGCGCGCTCACCAACACACACACACACACACACACACGCACACGCACGTTCACCAACACACACACACACATCACACGCGCACATGCGCCCACCTCTCGGTGCAGTCGGGCACGTTGTTCTCGCAGTGGATGCCGTTGAAGCCGGGCCGGCACTTGCAGGTGTAGCTGTTCACGTAGTCGGTGCAGTTGCCCCCGTTGAGGCACGGCGCGCTGGCACACTCGTCCACCTCGTGCTGGCACTGGCGCCCCGCGAACCCAGCGCGGCACACGCACGAGAACGCGTTGACGCCGTCCCAACACGTGCCGCCGTTCTGACACGGAGCTGCGGTGGAGACACGGGGGGGGGGGAGGAGGGGGGGGTGGGACAGGGGAAACGTGGGGAGGCGCGGGGAGACGCGGGGAGACGCGGGGAGACGCGGGGAGACGCGGGGAGACGCGGGGAGACGCGGGGTGACGCGGGGTGACGCGGGGAGACGCGGGGAGACACGGGGTGACGCGGGGAGACGCGGGAAAACACGGGGTGACGCGGGGAGACACAGGGAGACGCGGGGAGACACGGGGTGACACGGGGAGACACGGGGAGACGCAGGGAGACACAGGAAGACACAGGGAGACAAGGAGGTTAGAGAGGTGTCAGGGTCGAGATCGAACCCATGCCCTCCTGTGTACCAGGCGAGGGAGATAACATCTCGCACCACCTGCACGCAGGTCAGGCAGATAGGAATCCAGGCAGGCAGCAAGCCAGAAGGCGAATATAGTAGAGACACGTAGATTGGGGACACGTGGGGAGCAGACACGCGGATTTCCCCTCGAAGAACACAATTACTCCCGTCACGGCACACTTGGGAGCAAACGGGGAGACGCGGATATGGGGGGACGGGGAGGTTAGAGACACGGATATGGGGGGATGGAGAGGACCAGATCACGTGGGGAGACACACGCGAAAACCACGGGGGGCTGACCCGACCCAAAAAAAACCCCAATTACGAATCATAATAAATTATAATTATAATAATTGGTTTTTTACCCTTCTATCTGGCAACAAAACTGACACCTTTTTAAAAAGGAGTCATGTTTACATAGACCACAATACCTGCAGTCATAATGCAAACAAAAACATAACTCTGATAATGTATGCACTGTCCTTGAAGTTGATTGGTCCACACCCGAGACAGATTTCCTTAGAGCCTAGTTTCACATGGGTTGGACCAGATGACACCAAAAAAAAAGGTGTCAGTTTTGTTGCCAGATAGAAGGGTAAAAAAACCAATTATCATATTTTTTTACTGGCAAATGAGGTTCCAATGGTATAATTATAATAACAACAACAATAAACAACACCGGCCACTCGCACCAAATGGCGAGCCACTCACCGGGCAAGCAGTCGTCCACATCCACCTGGCAGCTGTGGCCGGTGTAGCCGGGCTGGCACTCGCACGAGAAGCCGCCCAGCGAGTTCCGGCACACTCCGCCGTTGCGGCAGCGGTCGGACACGCACTCATCCACGTCCACGTCGCACGACCGGCCTGCGACGGAGAGGGGGGGGGGGGATGTTAACAGTCTCGTCTGGTACGCGGGAAGTCGTGGGTTCGATCCCGACCTCGTCAGTAACGTGCGACGCACGAACTCTGGCCCGGGTGGGCTGGTGTTGTGGGTGTGGCGGTGGTGGTGGGTGGCGGTGGCGGTGGGTGGTTGGTTTAATTGTTCAGGTTGAGCCGTACCCTGCCACCCGCTTGGACAAGAGCAGGCAAAGTCGGAGAAGTCTGGCAATTCCCGGCAGCTGCCACCATTCCGGCACGGAGTCCCGGAGCAAGGGGCCAGCACCGTCTCGCAGTTGCGCCCTGCGCAGAGAGACACGCGCACATGCATATTATGTAAACAACGGATAACACAAAGACACTAACAACGTAATAAGCACAACTTTATAAGAAACGTGGTTAATCCACGCATTAGTTAATATTTACTGTAGCTACAGCAGCCCATCTTTCACGGGGGAATGGTCGGTAAGCAATCACACTGGGCTCTATGGAGGCATTATACTACTATACACTACACTATACACTACCCTATACAACACACCAAGCTCTCTGAAGCCCCATTATTAAGCGATTAGTCGTTAACAGTGGTGCGTGTTAAGACGGCTTCTACTGCACACAAAGATAAAGATCACCCGTATAGCCTTAACAAACTGTGGAGGCAAGTGCTGCTTGAAGGCCGGCACGGTACACGAGGGGGTGGGTGGCCAGCACGACGCCCGACCGCTTTTGTCTCCCCCAGTGGTAAGGTTTTTACACACAGAACCAGGTTACGCATTTGAGGCCGAGTCGACCTAGGGGAGGCCCATGACCGGTTCAGATAATCGCGACCGGTGTTGGCCGTGAGCTGGAATCGAACTCGGGTCGCCGGGTTCGTAGCGTGGCGTAGCGCTAACCGCTGCACCACCGTTCCCCACCATATATCAACAACCGCCATTTGCCACTAAGTGGCGATGACGTCATCACGACGCTTGTGCCAGGCTATGTGCACGTTGAGGCCACGTGAAGTGTCGAACGCCCGCTGACAGGTCACGGGGCAGACCCAGGTGCCACGAGTCGACTGACTGAGATGATTGACCGATGCCCCACCTGTGCCCCCTACTGTGCCAACTACACACAGACACACAGACGTAGACCTATGTGCGTGACACACACACACGCGCGCGTATATGTACGCATACACGCACCCGTACTGAGAGGCAAACGCACGCACGGAGAACAGATGGACCTCTGTGTAGTCCAAGACATGACGATGGCAATCGCAGGGCGATGAAGACGATTAGGGTTACGACGATGAAAATGCAGATGACGACGACAATGATGATTTGTTTACTCTTCCAGTATTTTTCACTGCGCACCGTGTGTGCTGTACTGTGTCTGTCGTTGTAACGTTCAGACCCGGTGCCCCTACTGAACATCTGCGCCAAAATAACTTCATCGGATTAAATTTCGATTTAAAGCTTTCGTGACTGCAGGGATTCATCTTCTTGGTTCTTTCGGTAAAGTCACGTAGAAGGGAAATAATAAAATAATACAAATAAACCAATAAAATAATTCTCACGACGTTTCGGCCACAACGCAAGCAGCCGTCCTCAGGTGAAGACCAGGTCTTATTTTATTATTTCCATTCTACGTGACTTTACCGAAAGAACCAAGAAGATGAACCAAAGACCACTGAGGAAATAACTCCCTCGCTGAGCTGCTAAGACGATTAAAAACGGCGCTCGGCCACGGCTTGACTAGCGTCGAAATGTCGTGAGAATTATTTTATGTTTAATTTGTATTATTTTATTATTTCCCTTCCACGTGACTTTACCGAAAGAACCAAGAAGATTCATTGGATTCCTCCAGAAAAATAAACACTCATTCTGATGACATCGAATACGACGTAGAAAGACAAAGATGATGATGACGATGAAGCAGGATGTTTTTGTTTAACAACTCCTTCCCCGCGTACCGGTGTAGGGCAAGTTGCACTGGCACGTGTAGCTTGAGATGCCGTCGTGGCAAATCCCGCGGTTGAGGCAGGGGTTGGACTGGCACTCGTTGACGTTGATCTGGCAGTTGTTGCCTGCCGAGAAAGCGGGGTTAGAGTTCGCGTCAACTACGAGGACGACGACAACAAGAGCCGAATGGCTCACAGGGCTACACCAAATAAATGAAACTGTTGTTATTACCCTGTACCGCTAGATCACGCGTGTGCGTAGTGTAGCACGTGCGTGCGCGTGCGTCAGCGTTACCGCGGAAGCCCGCGCGACAGATGCAGGTGTAGGCGTTGAGCTGATCGTAGCACGTCGCCCCGTTGAGACACGGACCGGACGCACATTCATCCCTCTCCACGTCGCAGTTCCTCCCGATCCAGCCCGGGTCACACACGCACCGATACCTGCAGCAGCAGCACGAGAAGCAATAGCAGTAGGAGCAGCAGCAGAAACAGCAGCAGTAGCAGCAACAGTAACAGTTGTAGCAGGAGCAGTAGGAGCAGCAGCAGTAGTTTAACAGCAGCAGCAGCAGCAGGAAAACAACCGCCAGCATCAGTATCAACATCAGAAAGGTAAAAATTAGATCATCACAGAACGTAGTGGTGCAGTGTACACACACACACACTACTCACTCATTCACAACTCACAATGACGCACACACTACTAACACACACACTACTAACACACACTACTCACTCACACACTCACACACTACTCACACTACTAACACACTACTCACTCACTACTCACACACACTACTCTTTAACACACTAACACACACTACTCACTCACACACTAACACACACTACTCATTCACACACTAACACACACTAACACACTACTCAACAACAACAACCGCCATTCGCCACTAAGTGGCGATGACGTCACCACGACGCTTGTGCCAGGCCAAGGTGCACATGGCCTGGCACACACTACTCACTCACACACTATCACACACACTACTTACTCACACACACACTATCACACACACTACTTACACACTACTCACACTCACACACTACTCACTCACACACTAACTACTAACACACTATTAACACACACTCACACTACTAACACACACACACACTCACTACTCACACACTACTCACAAACTACTAACACATACTACTCACACACCACACACACTACTAACACACACGACTAACACTCACACATACTACTAACACACACACTACTAACACACACACTACTAACACTCACACACTACTAACACTCACACACTCACAGACGACCTCGCTGGCGCCCCTCGCCCGTTGCGATCGTCTAGGCATCCGCCGTGCGTGCACGGGCTGCTGGCACACTCGTCCACTCACACACACTACTAACACTCACACCACTAACACACTAACACTCACACACTACTAACACACTACTAACACTACTCACACACTACTAGCACACTACTAACACACACTACTCACACACTAACACTCACACACTACTAACACACTAACACTCACACACTACTAACACTACTCACACACTACTAGCACACTACTAACACACACTACTCACACTACTCACACACTCACAGACTGCCCTGCCTCACCCGTTGCGATCGTCAAGGCATCCGCCGTGCGTGCACGGGCTGCTGGCACACTCGTCCAGCTCCTCGATGCACGCCGGCTCCTGGAAGCCGTCGGGGCAGGCGCAGGTGAAGCCGTCGACGCCGTCGCGACACGTGCCGCCGTTGTGGCACGGCGACGAGGCACACTCGTCCACGTCGATGGTGCACGCGGGGCCTGCGGGGGGGGGACACGCCGTGGGGGGGGGGCGGGGGGGGGGGACACACGGGACACGGGGGCGGGGAGACACAAGAACACGAGACACGAGGCACGGGGAAACATGAGGAGACACGAGGAGACACGGGGAGACACGGTGACACACGGGGACACGAGAGACACGGGGGCGGAAAGACACAGGGACATGAGACAAGGGGGACACGAGACACGAGAGACACGGGGAGACGGGAGCGGTGAGACACGGGGAGACACGAGACGCGGTGAGACACGGGGAGACACGAGACGCGGCGAGACACGAGACACGGGGAGACACGAGACACAGGGAGACAGGAGCGGTGAGACACGGGCACACGAGACACGAAGACACGAGACACGGGGAGACAGGAGCGGGGAGACACGGGTGGTGAGACACAGGGACACGAGATACGAAGACACGAGACACGGGACATGCAGCGAGACACAGGGACACAGGGACACGGGAGCGGTGAGACACGGGGATACGAGACACGGGAAGACGGGAGCGGTAAGACAAGGGACACGCGGCGAGACACGGGGAGACGGGAGCGGTGAGACACGGGGAAACACGGGGAGACACGGGAGGACACGGGGACACGGGGACACGGGGTACGACACGCACTCCTCCACGTCGACGGTGGTGGGTGCGCGAGTGGCGGCACGTGTGTACGTCACACGTGTACGTCACGCGCGTACGTCACGCGTGTGCCCGTGGCGCGCGTCGTTACCTGTGTAGCCGGGCTGGCACACGCACTCGTAGCTGTTGATGCCGTCCTTGCACACGCCGTAGTCACACGAGCTGCTCGCACAGTCGTCGTAGTTCGTCTCGCAGTTGGTGCCTGGGGGGGGGGGGGGGTGTCACGGGGTCAAGCCGGCGTCATCATTCACTGGGCATCTGTGAAGAAAGAGCTTCATAGCTCATCGGATTGCGTGGGCGGTGAGTGGTGTGTGCGGTGTGGGCTGTGTGGGCTGGGAGCGGTGAGTGGTGGGGGCTGGGAGCGGTGAGCAGTGTGGGCTGGGAGGGGTGAGTGGTGTGGCTGGGAGTGGTGAGTGGTGGGGGCTGGGAGGGGTGAGCGGTGTGGGCTGGGAGTGGTGAGTGGTGGGGGCTGGGAGGGGTGAGTGGTGTGGGCTGGGAGTGGTGAGTGGTGGGGGCTGGGAGGGGTGAGTGGTGTGGGCTGGGAGTGGTGAGTGGTGGGGGCTGGGAGGGGTGAGTGGTGTGGGCTGGGAGGGGTGAGTGGTGGGGGCTGGGAGTGGTGAGTGGTGTGGGCTGGGAGGGGTGAGTGGTGGGGGCTGGGAGGGGTGAGCGGTGTGGGCTGGGAGGGGTGAGTGGTGTGGGCTGGGAGTGGTGAGTGGTGGGGGCTGGGAGTGGTGAGTGGTGTGGGCTGGGAGTGGTGAGTGGTGTGGGCTGGGAGGGGTGAGTGGTGTGGGCTGGGAGTGGTGAGTGGTGGGGGCTGGGAGGGGTGAGTGGTGTGGGCTGGGAGGGGTGAGTGGTGTGGGCTGGGAGGGGTGAGTGGTGGGGGCTGGGAGGGGTGAGTGGTGTGGGCTGGGAGGGGTCAGTGGTGTGGGCTGGGAGGGGTGAGTGGTGGGGGCTGGGAGTGGTGAGCGGTGGGGGCTGGGAGGGGTGAGTGGTGGGGGCTGGGAGGGGTGAGTGGTGTGGGCGGTGAGTGGTGAGTGGTGTGGGCTGGGAGGGGTGAGTGGTGTGGGCTGGGAGGGGTGAGTGGTGTGGGCTGGGAGTGGTGAGTGGTGGGGGCTGGGAGGGGTGAGTGGTGTGGGCTGGGAGGGGTGAGTGGTGTGGGCTGGGAGGGGTGAGTGGTGGGGGCTGGGAGTGGTGAGCGGTGGGGGCTGGGAGGGGTGAGTGGTGGGGGCTGGGAGGGGTGAGTGGTGGGGGCTGGGAGGGGTGAGTGGTGTGGGCTGGGAGGGGTGAGTGGTGTGGGCTGGGAGGGGTGAGTGGTGGGGGCTGGGAGTGGTGAGCGGTGGGGGCTGGGAGGGGTGAGTGGTGGGGGCTGGGAGGGGTGAGTGGTGGGGGCTGGGAGTGGTGAGCGGTGTGGGCTGTGTGAGCGGTGAGCGGTGAGCGGTGTGGACTGCGAGCAGCAGTGCCGAGCCTTGCGAGCTACGACACCCACCTCCCGTGCCGGGCTGGCACGTGCACTGGTATCCGTTGACGAGGTCCACGCACTTGCCCTCGTGCTGGCAAGGGTTGCTCAGGCACTCGTTCACCTGCTTCTCGCACCGAGGCCCCATGTAGCCCGGCAGGCAGGCGCACGTGAAGCCGGCCACGGCGTCCTGGCAGCGCCCGTGGTGGCACGGGTCCGGGTCGCAGTCGTTGACGTTCACCTCGCACAGCTCGCCCTCGAAGCCTGCGCCGGGACACGCGGGCAAAGTTACCGCCGCAGCGGCGTAGCCTTCACGGGATGTCGGGGCAAGTGGCGCGCGACTATGTTGGGGGGGGAGGAATTGCTATGGCACGTTTAAGGCCAAGTCAACTTACGGGGGTGGGGGATAAGGGGCCCACAAGGGGGACCCCGGGTTCAGAAACTCGTCTGAAATCGACAGACCTGTTCTTCACCTGAGGACGGCTGCTTGCGTTGTGGCCGAAACGTCGTGAGAATTGTATTTTATTATGTTTAATATTTTTATTATTTAATTATTTCCCTTCTACGCGACTTTACTGAAAGAACCAAGAAGATGAATCCATGCAGTCACGAAAGCTTTAAATCGAAATTTATACTAGGTTTGTTTTCTATTTCATTTGTACCTGATGACAATTGCTTGTGTTGCAATCGAAATGTCGCATTCTACTATTAAATTAATTTCTCTTTCTACGTGACTTTACCGAAAGAACCAAGAAGATCCATAGAAATTATTATAATAAAACATTTTTTTTTTTGCGAAATGTTTCGAGGAATCCGAACCTTCGGGGCAGTCGCAGTCGAACATGTTGGGCAGGTCGATGCACTTTGCCCCGTTGAGGCAGGGCGTGCTGGCACACTCGTCGATGTCCATCTGGCACATGCTGCCCGTGAAACCTGCGGCACAGGAAGGCGAGAGGTAGAGAGAGGGGAAGGGGAGGGAGCGGAGCGGAGAGGGGGAACACACCAACTATTAACACGCATTTAAAGCTTTCGTGACTGCAGGGATTCATCTTCTTGGTTCTTTCGGTAAAGTCACGTAGAATGGAAATAATAAAATAATAAAAATAAAACATTATAAAATAATTCTCACGACGTTTCGGCCACAACGCAAGCAGCCGTCCTCAGGTGGAGAACAGGTCTTTCCGACAGACCTGTTCTTCAGACGCTGTCTTTCCGACAGACCTGTTCTTCACCTGAGGACGGCTGCTTGCGTTGTGGCCGAAACGTCGTGATAATTATTTTATTATGTTTTATTTTTATTATTTCCATTCTACGTGACTTTACCGAAAGAACCAAGAAGATATTAACACGCAGTGCACAGAAGCTGTCAAAGTATGACCTGTGTTTTGATTTAGTGTGCTGATCTTAGAGGTGCATTGAAAAATGTTGATACTCCGACTGATGCTCCTGCTGTTGTGGAGTGACTCATGCAGCCAGCTATGGCTGCAGGGTTTGGTGGTACACGTTGTTTATGTCGTTTATTGTGAAAATTCGGTCACAGTTCCTATGATCACTGTTACATTGCTTTTATGGCTTTATTTTGGTGATTTCGAAAAGTTTTTTGGTTTGGCCATGTTTGTTTGTTGTAGTGGCCTTAATCCAAGTTGTCTTGTGGTTGTTGTTGTTTGATTTGCATCCCACGGTGTCTTTTCTGCAATATTTTGCTGTCTTTTCCTGGATTGTCTGTTTGCACATAGTCACATAGTCACTTTAAGATGTTTTCTTGTTCATGTTTTTGTTTTTTTGTTTGTTGCGGTTGCACCCGATTCAAGAGCCGAATGGCTCACAGGGCTATACCTAATAAATGAAACTAAAAACTGAAGCTGTCACAGCGGGTCCAATGGTCCGTACAGGGGCACTCGCAAATGCAGAGGCCTCCGGTTCGATTACATCTCCCGGAAGATGAAACAACGGCGCTAGTTTATTAAAATCCCTCCTCCCCCCAGCGGTGTCATGGGTACAGCACAGTTGGTCGATGGGCAGGCCGTGTGTGGTGGGGTAAAATGTGTGCAGTAGCCGCGGTGGCTAGGAGATGTTGACTACCTCGCCTGGTGTGCAGGAGGTCGTGGGTTCGATCCCGACCCTGACGCCTGCTGCTGTATATTTGGAGTTGTCATCAAAACTCGATAAGCGCGGTTGGCTACGTACGGTGCGAAAAGAAGTTCAATATACATACGTACTGCCCATAGACTAACACTACCCACAGACTCAACACTACCCACAGACTCAACACTGCCCATAGACTAACACTACCCACAGACTCAACACTACCCACAGACTCAACACTGCCCATAGACTAACACTACCCACAGACTCAACACTACCCACAGACTCAACACTACCCACAGACTCAACACTACCCACAGACTCAACACTGCCCACAGACTCAACACTACCCACAGATTAACACTACCCACAGATTAACACTACCCACAGACTCACACTACCCACAGACTCACACTACCCACAGACTCACACTACCCACAGACTAACACTACCCACAGACTAACACTACCCACAGACTAACACTACCCACAGACTCACACTACCCACAGACTCAACACTACCCACAGACTCAACACTGCCCACAGACTCAACACTGCCCACAGACTCAACACTACCCACAGACTCAACACTACCCACAGACTCAACACTACCCACAGACTCAACACTACCCACAGACTCAACACTACCCACAGACCTCAACACTACCCACAGACTAACACTACCCACAGACTAACACTACCCACAGACTAACACCTAATTTGCAAACAAGCTGCTGACCCTCCCAGAGCGCCACCGCTCATCGTCAGGGCCCAGCCACAAACAATGGGCGCATTGAGCAGCCGGCCCCGTGCAGACAGCGGGGGGGGGGGGAGGGGGGGTGCAGCGTGGTGCAGCGTGGTGCAGCGTGGTGCAGCGTGGTGCAGCGTGCAGCATGGCACAGAATTCGTCACTGTGCATGCTGCAGCATCGTGCAGCGTTCGTGCAGTGTTGCGAAGTGTGCAACGCCGTGCGGCATCGTGCAGCGTGGGTGCAGCGTGTGCACAGCACGGCACGCGCATGCAGCGCCAGTCAAGCACGGTGCGTGCGGGGTTGCGACGTGCAGCGCCGTGCCGATTGTGTCCGAGCTTCCAGTCCAGCGGCACAACCCGTGGGCTTTCACCGCCGCACCGCGATGGGACAGAACGATCACCGGAGCGACGGTGCACTTTGAAATCGTCATCTCGATTGAAAGCTCGTTTCTTTAGAATTGCTTCTTGCGTTTTAGTTTGTCGTCCCTGCCCCCGCATCGCCGATTGGCACGGTTGGCTACGTACGGTGCGAAAGAAGTTCAATATACATACTGCCCCATAGACTCAACACTACCCATAGACCCAACACTGCCCATAGACTCAACACTGCCCATAGACCCAACACTGCCCACAGACCCAACACTACCAATAGACTCAACACTGCCCCATAGACCCAACACTGCCCATAGACTCAACACTGCCCCATAGACCCAACACTGCCCACAGACCCAACACTGCCCACAGACCCAACACTGCCCACAGACCCAACACTGCCCACAGACTCAACACTACCCACAGACTCAACACTGCCCACAGACTCAACACTGCCCACAGACTCAACACTGCCCACAGACCCAACACTGCCCACAGACCCAACACTGCCCACAGACCCAACACTGCCCACAGACTCAACACTGCCCACAGACTCAACACTGCCCACAGACTCAACACTGCCCACAGACTCAACACTACCCAGACTCAACACTACCCATAGACTCAACACTGCCCACAGACTCAACACTGCCCACAGACCCAAGACTGCCCACAGACCCAACACTGCCCACAGACCCAACACTGCCCACAGACTCAACACTGCCCACAGACCCAACACTGCCCACAGACCCAACACTGCCCACAGACCCAACACTGCCCACAGACCCAACACTGCCCACAGACTCAACACTGCCCACAGACTCAACACTGCCCACAGACCCAACACTGCCCACAGACCCAACACTGCCCACAGACCCAACACTGCCCACAGACTCAACACTGCCCACAGACTCAACACTGCCTACAGACTCAACACTACCCAGACTCAACACTGCCCACAGACTCAACACTACCCAGACTCAACACTGCCCACAGACTCAACACTGCCCACAGACTCAACACTGCCCACAGACTCAACACTACCCAGACTCAACACTGCCCACAGACTCAACACTACCCAGACTCAACACTGCCCACAGACTCAACACTGCACCTCCGATTAGCACGGTTGGCTACGTTAGGTGCGAAAGAAGTTCAACGAAGCCAAAATACTTGAGGACCCTGTAGCAGAGGCCCCTTGCTGCCAGCAGTGTGCGTGAGCAGGCAATTGCAGGGCTGCACCTTTGCCTGTTGGGAGCTAGACTGGATCCTACCTCGATGATCGTCAATGGCAGAAGCAGAGAGCACGTGGCCTGCCTGCAAATCTCTCTGTCTGTCTGTCCCTCTCCAGATCTCGCCCAGTCTCTATCTCTCGCTCGCTCGCTTCTCCACGCTTCTGACTGCGCGTGTCTCTCTCTACCACGATTCTGGCAAAAAAAATTCGCCCCATGAAGCTGGTGGTTGTTGTTGTCGTAATTACCGGCGAAACGTCACGGCCACTCTAATTGTAAATGTTGCGGTGGGTTTAACTCTCCAACACACGACCTGTTAGCGCTGAACTAAGTAACGAATTGGCAGCTTTGGTTTCAAGTGACACAACCGTACCGATTGGCTGCGTTGGGTTAATGACACATTTATATTTTACAGGATCTAACCCAAAAGAAGAAAACTTTATTATAATATTGGTCGGGAAAGCCAAACTATTACTACTGCTTGTTAAACTCTCTCTTCCATCACCGGGCGTGCCTCTGCATCCCTCAATCTCTCCACCACGCCCACCGCCGTAACCTCCAGTCTCTCTTCATCTCTCTCACCACCAGCACCTCCCCCCCCCCCAACCAAAACATTCAAACAAATAAATAACCCCAGAGTTTGACAAAGCGGCGGGCAGGCGGGCGGGCGGGCACAGAAACCACTCCGGGTATCGTGATTCGTTTTTTTTTGTTGAGAGCGCAAAGAGCGGAGAGTGCGGAGCGAGCGAGCGAGCGAGGGATGTCACGTGCCGCCCCCCCCCCACCCAGGGACACACACAAAGGCTTCCACTGTGCGTCGCGGTTTTTCATCGGCCGACCGCGGCGGCGGAGGAGGAGGAGGAGGTTTTGTTGTTGTCGTCCCGTCCACGGCCGAACCATCTGCCGCTTCACCACCACCTCCCCCACCACCACCACCGCCGCCAAGCCACGGCCGCGTCACCGCGCGGAGACGGCATTGTTCGGCGAGAACCATGATTACTCGGCCCTCCCCTCTGGCCCTCCTCCCCCCTCCCCTCCTCCTCCTGCCACCGCCTACCGGCATGGCCGATGGCGTCGCTCAGTCACTCGCTCCGTCGCCCTGTCGCGAGCGTCTTCATTGTCCTCGCCGCTGTGTCCCCGCCCAACCCCCAACCCCCAACCCCCGACCCCCGACCCCCGACCACGCCACGCCGCGACCTCCGTGACCCCAAGCGGTGGTCAACTTCGACCCCTAATTAAACGTGTCTTTGTTTCGCCGGTCAAAAAAGGGGAGTCGTAGTGACGGGGCGTTTAAGAAACAAAAAGCAGAGTCTTTATTTAGACTGCGGGCAGGAATCCGATGAGCCATGAAGCTCTATTTTGTTGTTGTTGTCCCAGACTGTCCAGGGGATTTTAAAACAAAAAAAATGCTTTCTAGCGCTGACGAAATGAGGTTGAAAGTGTTTGTGTGCTGTGGCTCCTGTATCGGTCTTGTGTGTAAAAAGCGGGGGGGGGGGGTTCACAGTAACTCCCGTAGAGTTGATCCGATACGAGCGAGCCTCTAGGGTAAAGTCGTGCGGCTCTTAGGGACTCACCCCGGAGAAAACTGGACACTTTGACCAAGGGGTTAACAACAGATTGGTTCTGCGTGTCCGTGTGTAACGGGAGGTCACAGTAACTCCCGGAGAGTTGATCCGATATGAGTGAGCCTCGATGGTAAAGTCGTGCGGCTCTTAGAGACTCGCTCCCGGAGAAAACTGGACACTTTGACCAACGCCTTTTTTGCTCCAAATACTTTGTGAGGAGACGCAAACCAGCGCTAAAAAGAGAAACGTTTACAAATACGCTGCGCCCCATCGGCTTTCCGTGCCGCGAATGACAAAAAGCTACGCAGAGTAGCTGCCGTGGCGGTTGTAACCGCCGGGGGGAAATAAATAAATAAATCGCGTGGCACGGAGCCATCGGCTTACAGCCCCCCAAGTGACGTGGCAACGCAACTGGCCATACACAAAAAAAATCAATAAACAAATAGAAATAAATAAACGCCTTCGCCATCGTTGCGATCGCCGTCGACGTCATCGTCATAATTGTGTGCGTACGCACGTGTGTTGGAACGTCTTTCGCACCGTACGAAGCCAACCGTGGTAACCAGTGGTGCTTGGGGAAGGATAACAAACTAAAACGCAAACTACCGTATTCATCATCGTCATCATCGTCGTCGTCGTCATCATCATGATCATCGTCACCATCATCGTCGTTATTATCATGATCATCATCATCACCATCGTCGTTATCCTCATCATGATCATCGTCACCAACATCGTCGTTATCATCATGATCATCATCACCATCTTCGTTATCATCATCATGATCACTGTCACCATTGTCGTTATTATCATGATCATCACCATCGTCGTTATCCTCATCATGATCATCGTCACCATCATCGTCGTTATCATCATGATCATCATCACCATCTTCGTTATCATCATCATGATCACTGTCACCATTGTCGTTATCATCATGATCATCATCATCACTATCGTCGTTATCATCATCATGATCACCGTCACCATCGTCGTTATCATCATCATGATCATCGTCACCATCATCGTCGTCATCATCATCGTCTTCAGGATCACCATCGTCGTTGTCGTTGTCGTCACAGCGTGTCGTTGGTCCTCTCACCTGAGCGACAGTCGCAGTGGTACCCGTTGGGCTTGTCCGTGCACACGCCCTTGTTCAGGCACGGATTGCTCTGGCACTCGTCGATGTTGATCTGGCAGAAGGCTCCCATAAAGCCTGGGACACGCGCACACACGGACACACACACACAAAGATAAAGATCCCCCACATAGCCTTAACAGATTGTAGGGGCAAGTGCTGTTAGCGAGCACCTATGAAGGCCGGAACGGTACACGAACGAGGGGGTGGGTGGCCAGCACCACGCCTGACTGCCTTTGTCTCCCCAGTGGCGATGTTTACACACCGCACCAGGTACTCAATTAAGGCTGAGTCGACCTAGGGGAGGCCCGAGACCGGTTCAGATAATCGTCACTGGTGTTGGCCGTGAGCGGAAATCGAACCCGGGTCGCCAGGTTCATAGCGCAGCGCGCTAACTGCTACACTACTGCTCCCCATAACACACAGACACACACACACAGACAGACACACACAACAACAACAACCGCCATTCGCCACTAAGTGGCGGTGACGTCACCACGATGCTTGTGCCAGGCCAAGTGCACCTTGAGGCCACGTGAAGTGTCGAACGCCCGCTGGCAGGAGGTCACGGGGCAGACCCAGGTGCCACGGGTCGACTGACCGAGATGACAGAGATGACTGGCTAATGCACCACCTGTGCCCCCTACTGTACCAACTTGCTGTGCTTTAGCCACCCGGCGCTCCGCTCGTTGTTGTGAGCGTCGCTCCTCCGCCCTCCGTTGTTGTTGGAGGGCGACTGCCTCCAACTGCCCAGTAGCGTCCTTCACGAGCCTCCTCCACTGAGGCCGATCTTGACACCGCTGGTACCAGTCATCGGCAAGTCCACTCAGCTCCACGTCCTCCTGTACCACATCACTCCATCTCTTCTCCAGCCCGTGCCGCGCCCGTCTAGCCCCCTCGATCCGGCCGAACAAAAGCTGTTTAGGCATGCGGTGGCTGGGCATGCGGGCTACATGACCCAGCCAACGCAGCCTTGCCTGCCGGAGGAGCTCACTGATGGGACTTTGCCCAGATCTTTCAAGGATTTGTGAGCTCCTCACACAATCCAGCCTGGTTAAACCCAGGATGGATCGTAGGCAGGCCAGCCTAAATGTTTCCAACCGGCGAAGATGCTCCACTAGGGGGGTCCACGTTTCGCAAGGGTAGAGAAGGGAGGGAATGACCGTGGCCGAGAAGACCTGAAGCTTCGTGCGGAGCGACAGACCAGGTAGCTTCCACACAGCGTTACGCAATCGATGAAAAGATATTGCCGCTCGACTGATTCGGAGTGAGACCTCTGCTGATAAACTGGAGCCGGTCATAAGCACACTGCCCAGGTATGGGAAACTCTCCACTCTCTCCACAACTGCCCCATCACCAATTGGGAGTTGTGGGGGTGGAGTGTCCGATGGTACAAAATACCCAGGCAGGTGCTTAGTTTTGGTGGGGCTGATGGTAAGGCCCCACCTCTTAGTGGCACGCTCCAGTCTCAGCAGCAGCGTCTCCAACTCCTCTTCTGAATGAGCAGCTATTACCAAATCATCGGCATACATAACGTGGTTGACCAATAGGGAGCCATCCCTTGATCGCACCCGGGCATCGATCAGCCTCCCATTATATCTGTACCAAATGGAAATTCCCCCGGTACAGCTATTGAAGGCTTCACGAGCTACGCGGTCAAAATAGATGTTAAATAATGTGGGAGCCAGAGGACATCCCTGTCGCACCCCAAGGTGTACAGGGAAAGGCTCCGACTCCCGGCCACGTAGTTTTACCCGGGCCCGCTCACCATCATGAAGGTCCTTAATGATCGTGAGCAGAGGGTCAGGGACTCCGAAAGCACGAAGAACAACCCAGAGCCCAGTCCTACTGATGGTATCATAGGCCTTGACCAGGTCAATAAAGCAGAGATGTAGGTCTTTTTGGAATTCCCTACACCTCTGCTGTAGCAGACGGACAGAAAATATGGCATCTGTGCAGGACCGCCCTTTCCTGAAACCGCATTGGGGATCCGCAAGCCTCTCCTCAGCGTGCCTAGCAAGGCGATGTTGAATAATCCTTGCCAGGACCTTACCCGGCACACTGAGGAGTGAGATGCCCCTGTAGTTGTTACAGTCGGTACGGTCCCCCTTCTTAAAGAGGGGGACCACCAGGGCATCCTTCCAGTCCTGCGGAACCCGTCCAGTGGTCCAGACTGTTGTTATGATGTCATATAGGGCAGTCTGTGCACAAACGCCACCCTCCCTCAGCATTTCGCTTGGGAGATCATCTCTGCCCGGTGCCTTCCCTGGTCTCAGACTCCGGATCGCCCTCAGTACTTCCTCAACAGCTGGCACCTCAGCCAGCCACTCACAGGGGGTGACCTCTTCCAATATTTGAGGCACCGCAGCCTCAGCAGGGTTATCACCACTTTGTGCCATGATGTTTTCCTGGCTGAGAGAATTTCCCTCCCCCAGGACCTCACAGAAATGCTCAGCAAATCTGCAAACCTGTTCCTGGGGGTCGGAGATTGGATCACCGTTTTTTCCTCTAATGATGGTAATAGGTGTGGCGCTGCAGGTTACTTTTTTGATGGAGTTAAATAGTGATTTGTGATCACGGGCCACTGAGGCAGACTCCATCTCCTCAGCAACCCGCGACCACCATCCATCCTTACAGCGCCTTACGGCTCTCCGAACTTCCGAGCGAAGGCTGCGGTAAACCTCCTCATTCTCTGACGTGGGATGCTGTAGGCGATGAGAGTGGGCCTGTCGCTTTTTCTCAATTAACCTGAACACCTCGTCTGTCAGCCAGGGTTTCTGGGGAGGTCTGGACCGCGTACCCAAAGCAGCCATTGCAGCAGCATGAGTCACAGTCTTAAACCTCGCCCATTTACCCTCGACATCAGGTGGAGTGGGGGACGATGCCAACCCCAGCTGCAAGCGATGTTGAAATTCTCGCTTGCAACTTTCATCAGCTAACTGAGACCAGGCCACTTTTGGTTGGAATGGGATCCTGGGTGTACACCCACCACCGGAGTGGAAGAAAGGCAGGCGCATCTTACAGATGACTAGTCGATGGTCAGAGGGCAGATCAGCTCCACGGTAGGTCCTGGTGTCAAGGACATGGGCTCGCATTCGCTGGTCCGTCACTATGTAGTCCAGCAGATGTTCTTGCTTGGACCCGGGATGTATCCATGATGTTGTGTGGATGCGCCGATGCCGGAAGAGCGTGTTGGTAATTACAAGCCCATGGGCTGCACAAAAATCTAGCAGCCTCCTACCGTTATTATTGAGCTCATCTGGCCCATGCCTTCCAATCACTCCAGACCAGGTGCCAGCATCATGACCAACTCGGGCATTGAAGTCACCCAACAAGATGACTCTGTCCCGAGTGGCCACTTTAGCCAGCACCTGTGACAGGAGGTCATAGAAAGCGTCTGACTCATCGGCTTTGCTTGCATCCCTCCACGGATGTTCATCTTCGGTGGGGGCATAAGTAACCACGACCACCACTCCTCGCCTCTGGTTGATGGGAAGGCGAGCCCAAAGTATCCTGGGGCTTACAGCTTCCCACACCTCACCGCCACGCTCCCACGCCCCCTTCATTCTTTTGTTCAGAAGAAGAGCCACACCCTGTTGTTTGGCAGTCTCCTGCCCCGAGTAGAGGACTGTCCACCCCTCATGGTGGCAGGAGCCAGAACCGGTCCACCGGACCTCCTGAATGCCACAGAGATCCAGGCGGTACCGGTCCACACACACACACCGACACACATGCACAGATCCGCCGTTTAGTATTTAACACCCTGTTACGGCAGGTACTGTTGTTGTCAAGCGAGCACATTTGTCTCCTGAGCGCTTTGGTGGCGAGGAGATGTTAACTATCTCGCCTGGTATGCAGGAGGTCGTGGGTTTGATCCCGACCCTGACGCCTGCTGCTGTATATTTGGAGTTTGCGGTGTCTCTCTCCCCGTAGTTGAGTGGATTTTTCTCCGGGTCTTCCGGTTTTCACCACCTCCACGTTTAGAATCGACGTCAACACGCGTTTCAGAGCATTTGGGCTGCTGCAAATCTCCACGCAATGAGCCACTTCGCCGAGCTCTCATTTGTGATATAGCCAGGGTCACTTCCCAAACAGAACTACGCAGCTCAGTGGGGGCGCCTTACCTGGTACAATAAAAACGGTCTCAAGGCCGAGTCGACCTTGACGTGGCCCAGACGTGCGTGCGTTACAACAACATGCCGCCCAGCCCCCTCCCCCAGTGTCTCTCTCTCTCTCCCCCCACCTCCGGGGCCTCTCTGCAAGTCTCATGGCTCCCTCTGCGTGCCGGCTCCCACGCCGCGCGTCTCAACGTGCAGGCAGATTGCAGGTGACCCCCCCCCCCCACTCCAACCCCCCCCCCACTCCAACCCCCTCCCACTCCAACCCCATCACCGCCCCCCGGATCTGATCAAGGGCAGGTAGGCCTCGTTCCGGCAGGGCACGCTTGCATCCCCCCCCACCCCCCACATCTCCACCGTATCCCTCCGCATGTACCCCCGCGTGTCCCCGCCATATTCTTACACGTCCCCACCGTGTCCCCACCTATCCCCACCTATCCCCACCATATCCCCACCAGTCCCCACCTGTCCCCACCTATCCCCACCATATCCCCACCTATCCCCACCGTGTCCCCACCTATCCCCACCGTGTCCCCACTGCCACCATATCCCCACCTATCCCACCTATCCCCACCATGTCCCCACCATGTCCCCACCTATCCCCACCGTGTCCCCACCGCGTGGCGTGCCCAGGCGCGTGCCTCTCCCACCCCCCCCCCCCCCCAGCACGCCGCCACACGCCGCGCCTCACCGGGCATGCAGATGCAGGTGAACTCTCCGATTTGGTCGAGGCAGGTGGCGTCGTTCTGGCAGGGCATCGACTGGCACTCGTTGACGTCGATCTCGCAGCGGGCGCCCGTGTAGCCGCCCAGGCAGTGGCAGCGGAAAGAGCCCATCGTGTTGATGCAGCGCCCGCCGTGCTCACACGGGTTCCCTCCTGGGCGTGCGCGGCGGGGACGCGGGGAGGGCGCACGCGCGGAGAGATGGGGGGTGGGGCGGACGAGCAGAGAGAAGGTCGGACAGGTGGAGAGAAGGGTGGACGCGCGGAGAGAAGGGTGGACGCACAGAGAGAAGGGCGGACAGGCAGGTAGAAGGGTGGACGCACAGAGAGAAAGGTGGACACACAGAGAGAAGGGCGGACAGGTGGAGAGAAGGGTGGACGCGGAAAGAGAAGGGTGGACGTGCGGAGAGATGGGTGGACAGGCGGAGAGAAGGGGAGATGGATGGACAGACAGGCACGTGGACAAACGGACGGATGGACAGATTAGGAAAAGGAAAAATTTACATACGGATGGAGAGGCAGACGATTTGAAGGATCGATGGACAAAAGGATAGAGCGAAGGACGGACGGACAGATGGACGGATCGTACCACCAATGGACAGACAGACACAGAGAGATGCACACACAGGGACAGACAAACTGTTAGTCAGGTCCCCTTAAAATAGCGACCGCCGCAAGCATCCTGCTTCACCGAAGGCAGGAAACCCCCCCTACAGAGCCACGCCCAGCGTGACGCGGCCACGGCCGGTGCCGTAGGCATCACATATCACCGCCGGGCACCTCCCGTCCAGCGGCACACACCGATTGGTTGGGCGACGGAAGCGATGAACGGGTCTCGAGTAACTGACGACGACTCCCGACAACCAAAATAATTCAGCAACGTCTCCGTCAAATATCCGTTTCCCAAACCACGGCATTGCTTACACCTCATCGCGCGGCCGTCTGGAACGCTCTTCCTTCCGATATTAGAAAGCCATTGGGAGCTGTGTGGCCACGTTTAAATCATCGTCTACTAGATTGACAAACTCATTTCTTCAGAACTGCCTGCAGTGTTTAGTTTGTCATCCTTCCCCCCGCACCTCCGATTAGCGCGGCCGGCTACGTACGGTGCAAAGGAAGTTCAACTTACTTACATACTACCCATAGACTCAACACTACCCATAGACTCAACACTGCCCATAGATTCAACACTGCACCATAGACTCAACACTGCACCATAGACTCAACACTGCCCATAGACTCAACACTGCCCACAGACTCAACACTGCCCACAGACTCAACACTGCCCATAGACTCAACACTGCACCATAGACTCAACACTGCCCATAGACTCAACACTGCCCACAGACTCAACACTGCCCACAGACTCAACACTGCCCACAGACTCAACACTGCACCATAGACTCCACACTGCCCATAGACTCAACACTGCCCATAGACTCAACACTGCCCATAGACTCAACACTGCCCATAGACTCAACACTGCCCATAGACTCAACACTGCCCATAGACTCAACACTGCCCATAGACTCAACACTGCCCATAGACTCAACACTGCCCATAGACTCAACACTGCCCATAGACTCAACACTGCCCATAGACTCAACACTGCCCATAGACTCAACACTGCCCATAGACTCAACACTACCCATAGACTCAACACGAAACTCCCAATTCTTGGCTCAACTCGCAACGACGGACCGCCCCCTGCCGCCCCCTGCCCTCGCCGTACCGATGGAGCACTCGTCGATGTCCTGCTTGCAGGCCCCGCCGGAGAAGCCGGGCGGGCACGTGCAGATGGCCTTGCCCGTGATGGGGTTGGTGTCGCACAGAGCCCCCTCGTGGCACGGGTTGCTCACGCACGCGTCGTCCAGGTGGCACAGGAGGCCTGGTTGGGGTGGGGGAGGAGAGGGCGAGAGGGTGGCACCGTGCGGACGATGTGACACACGGAAGAACGTGACACACGAACGGACACACATAGAGAGACGTGACACACGGACGATGTGACACACGGACGGACGTGACACACGGACGATGTGACACACAGAGAGACGTGACACACGGACGACGTGACACACGGACGGACACACACAGATGGTGAGCACCAACAATAGTGGCGACACTCCGTAAGTAAGCACCGCCCGGTTGGAATGACCGGCGCCTGCCATGCCAATGTGGAATTTCCACCTCCACCGGAGGCGAGTGCGGTCATCGGTGAGCAGGCAGAGAACCCTAGCAGAGAACCCAGCTTCATCGCAACTCCGTCTAAACGAGTCTCGGTGGGTCTCCATACGAGTCTCCGTGGGTCTCTATAGGAGTCTGCGGGTCTCTGTAGGAGCCTACGGTTCTCTGTAGGAGTCTGTGTGGGTCTCTGTACGATCCTAGATTTCTGTACGAATCTGTGTGGGTCTCTGTACGAGTCTGTGTGGGTCTCTGTACGAGTCTGTGTGGGTCTCTGTACGAGTCTGTGTGGGTCTCTGCGCGAGTCGCTGGTGACCATCGACTCGAGAGGGCCGTTCTCCCCCCCCTCCCCCCGCCCCCACCCCTCCCCCTCCCCCCCCACCCCCTACCCACCGGTCTTGCCGATGGGACACTCGCAGAAGAAGTTTGCGACGCGGTCGTGGCACGTGGCGCCGTTGTAGCACGCGGCGTTGGCGCAGTCATCGATGTTCTCGCTGCAGTCATCGCCGCTCCAGCCGTTGACGCACACGCAGTTGTAGCCGCCGTGCGTGTTGTGGCACGTGCCCCCGTTGAGGCACGCGTTGGGCTGCAGGTGGCACTCGTCCACGTCCTCCGTGCAGTACTGGCCTGCGCCGCCGCCGCCGCCGCCGTCACCGCCGCCGTTGTTAGCAAAGACGTCGCAAGGAGCATCGTCATCAGTATTGTTGTCGTCGTCATCAGTGTAACCGACCGGTGTGTGTGTACCAACCGGTGCTGTGTACACTTTGTTTTTTTTTCCGGTAAAGTCATGTAGGTAAAACAATTAATAAAATAAATGAAATGAAAATAAATGGAAACAACTAAATTAAATCACGACGTTTCGGAGGCAACACAAGCCTCCCTCACCAGGTGTGAAAAGGCACAGCAAAAGAACTTTAGTCGTGATTTAATTCAGTTGTTTTCATTTGTTTTATTAATTGTTTTACCTACGTGACTTTACCGAAACAAAAACCAAAGAGTATGAATCCTTGCAGTCACGAAAGCTTCAAATCTATAACCGGTGTTGTGTAACCAACCGGTGTGTGTGTACTAACCGGTGTGGTGTACCCAATCAGTGTGGTGTGAAAAAACGTGAAAAACAAATTAAAATGTTTTCTAAAAACTAAATTCGAGTGGACAAGGTTCCCCGCAAAAGAGCAGGCCGGTGCGTGCCGGGTGTCACAGGGTCCAACCCAAACATGAAAAAAAATCACACCGCTAAATTCCTCGATTGGGGAGGGGGGGATGACAAGGGGGTTCTTTTTTTTCGTTGGGGTCAGTTCGCGTTGATACCAGAGCGCGTCGTTCGACCCCGCCACCACCCGAAGCAGCCGATTGGTGAGGTTTGCCCGACGAGGCCGGTTGCGATTGCCAGCGAAACGTCGCACGGCACTCGGATCGGTAAACGTCGCGGGTTTACGCTCTCCGACACGCAACCGGCGCGTGGCTCAAACGGTAACGAATTGGCCACCTTTTGATTCACGCGACGCAACTTTGACTAATTGGCCGCGTCTGGCGGTGGTGGGTGGGTGTGGTGGTGGTTTCAACGACGCCATCTAAACCATAAATATATTTTTTGAACCTCGATCGTGGACAATGTTGGTCTCCAAAGTCTCCGAGACCTACTACGTCTTACACTCCATTGGGATTACACAGCGGCGACCATCGCTCCTCCCTACTGGCGGCAGACCGATGCCCATTAGATGGGGCCCACTGGGTCCCCTTCTGACGATGCAACAGGGGACAGCTGCCACTGTTGGGGGGGGGGGTGGCCCCTTTCAAATGAGACGAGCTGACACACGGTGTCAAAATCGCGCCGAAACGAAATATTATCATCGTCGTTGTCGTCGTCATCACACCCAAGGCACGTACCGTCCGCACGGAACTGGCACGTGCGGCGACAGTGGCCACTAGAGGGTGCTACCGCGCACAGCAATGAATCGCGACGATACTTAATTCATGGCATTGCCCAAGCGTCGTTGGCGACATTGGTGGCGGGTGGAGGGGCGGTGATGCCTGTGTAGCAATCATCAGGCAAGTGCAGCAGGTAAGAAGAGCGTTTATAGGAGGCCACTAGAGGGTGCTACCACACACACCGCAATGAATATAAATCACTCATGGAACTGCCAAGGGTAGTGGTGTCAGTGGTGGGTGGAGGGGCGGTGATGACTGTGTAGCAATCATCAGGCAAGTGCAGCAGGTAAGAGGTGTGTTTATAGGAGGCCACTAGAGGGTGCTACCACGCACCGCGATGAAGAGAAATAATTAATGGAACTGCCAAGGGTAGTGGTGTCAGTGGTGGGTGGAGGGGCGGTGATGCCTGTGTAGCAATCATCAGGCAAGTGCAGCAGGTAAGAGGAGCGGCTACAGGAACCGCCCGGCACCACACTCACCGGTCCACTCCTCGGGGCAGTGACAGTTGTAGGTGTTGACGCCATCGACGCAGGTGGCGCCGTTCTGGCAGTTGTTGGATTGGCAGTCGTCCACGTTGACATCGCAGTGCAGGCCCAGGAAGCCTGCGCGGACAGGGAGAGGGGACGACTCAGGACAGCGAGAGGACGACTCGAAGAGAGAGAGAGAGGATGACTCGGAAAGAGGAGAGGACAACTCGTAGAGAGAGGGCGACTGGGAGAGAGAGAACTGAGAGACAGAGGACGACTCGGGACAGCGAGAGGACGACTCGGAGAGAGAGAGAGAAGATGACTCAGAGAGAGGGCGACTGGGAGAGAGGGCGACTGAGATCGGGGACGACTCAAGAGGCACCAGGAGGAGGAACCACAGACACAAGCGAGATGGCAGCAGCAGCAGCAGCCGCCACGTGGGCGAGCTGACGCCAACAATTTCCCAAGCTCTGTGGCCCTCTCCATATATTGTCAACGTGTTATGGGGCCAATTAACATGTGCCTACATGGCTGCAGGTGTTGTGGTCAATGCAAACATGACTCCTTGTAAAAAAGGTGTCAGTTTTGTTGCCAGATAGAAGGGTAAAAAAACAATTATCAATGGTACAACAACTCTCAAAATGCGCGACGACCGTGTTACACAACAACTGCACGCACTCGCTTGGTCCGAGTGTTAAGTTCCCCAGCGTTGAACAGTACTCTCCTTTTGTATATGATTGTCAACCAACACTGGGCAAAACAACATGGGCATTTTCGTTCTCTTCTAGCATGTGCAGGTGCACCAACAGTTCCACATTCACTCTCTTTAAGCCCCACCCCCCCTCCCAATACGTTCCATTCATTGGCTACCACATTCAGATAAGCCCCTCCCTCCCTCAACTTGTATCTTGGAATTTTTGCCTCACTTGATACATCTGGCTGTGACGGTCCCACCTGATGACGGAGACTTGTGTTGCCTCCGAAACGTCGTGATTCATTATTTTATTATTTCTATTATTACTTTTATTAATTTTTAATTGTATTTTTTACCTACGTGACTTTACCGAAAAAACCTAAGATTACAAATCCCCCCCCACCCCCCTCCCAAAGCGTCATGCCGCCATGTACACGGGAGGAGCACGTGACAGCGAGCGCCCGGGCGCTGTGGGACTACGGTCGGAGTCGCCGCTGGGGTGTTTTAACAAACGGAGGAAAAAAAAAATCAAATCATCATCATCATCATCATCAACCCCACAACAATCGCAGGAAATGTTGGCGGAAAGCAAACGGGGCTAAAATTACAATGCGGCCGCCGGCCCCCTCTTTCTCCAGCCGGAAAATTTCACGCCCCTGATAATGCCACTTTGTGCCAAGCGGGGCGGAAGGATATGACAAAATGGCCGCGCCATTCAACATCCTTTAACCAGAAAAAAAACAGCCCACAACTCCATTCACGTTTGTGCCGTGCGCTGTAAGTAACAAAACAAAGTGCGCGTAAAAAGCCGCCGTTACCATCGGACTTTATCAACGGCTCATTGTACCGCACCGACGGTTAACGTGTTGTTGTTGTTGCTGCTGTTGCGTGTGGAGTGTGAGCGTGTATGAACGTGGTTGACGTCACCCTCACTTCGTTGGCGAACGGCGGCTATCGGTGTGTGGCGGGGAGCGGTGGCACAGCCGGTAGTGCCACGCCGCGCGACGAAACGCGGCGTAGCCGAATACGATTCCCGCTCGCGGCCTACCAACACCAGGTGACCATTAACCGAACCAGGCCTGGGCCTCCCCCCCCCTAAGTGAAGCTCAGTAGTGGGCCTTAAAATAAACAAGAGTTTTGTTGACATACGTCTATGACGGAATTGATAACGTGCCAAACTTCAGCTCTCTAGCCCTTCTACAACTTCCACAAGATGGGCAAAGCTCCTTTGGATTCGAGATGCCTCCCAAGCCAACAGAGCACATAACGAGACGACACTTCAAGAGCGCCGCACAGACGGATTCAGGATTCCCCTTTTGAAGTAGAGTTATCCGTCGCGACACTTTGACGGTATCAGCTCGAACGGCACCCAGCACGAGAGGTCACGAGTTATGGCCGAGGTGTTAGTTTTCGATTTAAAGCTTTCGTGACTGCAGGGATTCATCGTCTTGGTTCTTTCGGTAAAGTCACGTAGAAGGGAAATAATAAAATAATAAAAATAAAACATTCTAAAATAAACTAATATAATAAAATAATGAAATTGAATTATATAATAATATAATACAATAATATTCTAATATAATATTATTATATTTCGATTTAAAGCTTTCGTGACTGCAGGGATTCATCATCTTGGTTCTTTCGGTAAAGTCGCTACGTAGAAGGGAAATAATAAAATAATAAAATAAAACATAATAAAATAATTCTCACGACGTTTCGGCCACAACGCAAGCAGCCGTCCTCAGGTGAAGACCAGGTCTGTCGGAAAGACAGCGTCTGAATGGCTTTCCGACAGACCTGTTCTTGCGTTGTGGCCGAAACGTCGTGAGAATTATATTTTATTATGTTTTATTTCTATTATTCTATTATTTCCCTTCTACGTGACTTTACCGAAAGAACCAAGAAGAGGTGTTAGTTGTTCGGGGGGGGTTATGGGTTTGTGGCGTTGAGTTACAGTTCAGGGATTCAAGATTCCCATCTCGAATCCTCGGGAAGCGGCCTTCACATCGACCGCTCGCGCACTCACCTGGCAGGCAGGTGCAGTCGTAGGTCTCGTCCGTGGGCTGTCGGCAGGTGCCCCCGTTGAGGCACGGCGAGGGCGAGCAAGGCACGTGGGCGCTGTCGCAGGCGCGCCCCCCGTAGCCCGCGCGGCACTGGCACACGTAGGAGCCTGGCGGGGGGGGGGGGTGGAGGGGGGGCGCAAGCGTACCGGCGAGAGAGAGGAGTCTGTTAATCACGGGGCGGTGACGCGGACCAGCAGTGGCGGTTGGAATCCAGCGGCTGCCCTGGTTGATCTCTCCCTCCCTCTCTCTCCATGCCTCCCTCCCTCTCTCTCCATGCCTCCCTCTCTCTCCATGCCTCCCTCCCTCTCTCTCCATGCCTCCCTCTCTCTCCATGCCTCCCTCTCTCTCCATGCCTCCCTCCCTCGCTCCCCTCGCTCCCTCCCTCCCTCGCTCCCTCGCTCCCTCCCTCCCTCGCTCCCTCCCTCCCCCTCCATCCCTCCCTCCCTCCCTCCCTCCATCCCTCCCTCCCTCCCTCCATCCCTCCCTCCCCCTCCATCCCTCCCTCCCTCCCTCCCCATCCCTCCCTCCCTCTCCATCCCTCCCTCCCTCCCCATCCCTCCCTCCCTCCCTCCCGCCCCCCTCCTCCCTCCCTCCCTCCCTCCCTCCCAATCCCTCCCTCCCTCTCCATCCCTCCCTCCCTCCCCCTCCATTTCCCTCCCTCCATTTCCATCCCTCCATCCCTCCCTCTCCCCCATCCCTCCCTCCACCCCCCACCCCCACCACCGACGGTGCGGCGTTCACCGATGGTGTTGACGCAGGTCCCGCCGTTGCGGCACGGCTTGCCGGGCCCGGAGCACTCGTCGACGTCGGCGCGGCATTCGGCGCCGCGGTAGCCGGGCGCGCACGAGCACCGGTACTGGGACGCCAGCGCCGTGCACGATCCGCCGTGGGCGCAGGGGGCGGAGGCGCACGGCTCGGGCCGCTGACACAGCTCCCCTGCGAGCGGCAAAAAGGTGAAAAATCTATGAGCTGCCAGTTGAGTAAAAAAATTTAAAAAGTCATTTTCAACCAGGTAACAAGGCCCGACACAGAGCTGCTACGTCGCGACCCTGGCCATCACAGACGATGGCTCAACCAAGTGGCTCGTCGTCGTCGTCACGTGGACATTTAAAGCGGCCAGTGTCATGGTCCACCGTTGGCGCCGCCAACGTCACCGTCACAGTCACCGCCACCCCGTCACCGTCACCACCGTCACAGCCACCACCGTCACAGCCACCACCGTCACAGTCACCACCGTCACAGTCACCACCGTCGGCGCCACCACCGTCACCGTCACCACCGTCACCGCCGCCAACGTCACCGCCACCGTCACAGTCACCACCGTCAGTCACCACCGTCGGTCACCACCGTCGGCGCCACCGTCACCGCCGCCAACGTCGTCGTCGTCGTCGGCGCCGCCGCCACTCACCGGCCCAGCCGACGGGGCACTGGCAGTCGAAGGTGGCGAGCGTCAGCAGCTGGCAGCGCCCGCCGTTGAGGCAGGGAGAGCCGGAGCAGGCGCTCTCGACGGGCGAGGCGCAGCGGGGCCCCGCGAAGCCCAGCGGGCACGTGCACAGGTAGGAGACGGCACGCGACATCAGCACGGGGCGGCACGAGCCACCGCTGAGGCACGGCGAGCTGCGGCACGGGTCCTCGTGCTGGCAGCGCTCGCCCACGTAGCCCGAGCGGCACCTGAGGGGTGGCGGCGGGAGACACGCGGCAACGTCGTCATCGGCGGTGCGATCGTTTCCCGCGGGAGGTCGAGGGAGTTCGATCGCGGACCCTGGAGATGCCTGTTGAGTTTGGGTTTTTTCCCTGTGGTCTGTGTGTGTCTCTGTGTGTGTCTCTGTGTGTGTCTCTGTGTGTGTCTCTGTGTGTGTGTCTCTGTGTGTGTGTCTCTGTGTGTGTGTCTCTGTGTGTGTGTCTCTGTGTGTGTGTCTCTGTGTGTGTGTGTCTCTGTGTGTGTGTGTCTCTGTGTGTGTGTCTCTGTGTGTGTGTCTCTGTGTGTGTGTCTCTGTGTGTGTGTCTCTGTGTGTGTGTCTCTGTGTGTGTGTCTCTGTGTGTGTGTGTCTCTGTGTGTGTGTGTCTCTGTGTGTGTGTGTCTCTGTGTGTGTGTCTCTGTGTGTGTGTCTCTGTGTGTGTGTCTCTGTGTGTGTGTCTCTGTGTGTGTGTCTCTGTGTGTGTGTCTCTGTGTGTGTGTCTCTGTGTGTGTGTCTCTGTGTGTGTGTCTCTGTGTGTGTGTCTCTGTGTGGTGTGTCTCTGTGTGTGTGTCTCTGTGTGTGTGTCTCTGTGTGTGTGTCTCTGTGGGTCTCTGTGTAGGTCTCTGTGTAGGTCTCTGTGGGTCTCTGTGGGTCTCTGTGGGTCTCTGTGGGTCTCTGTGGGTCTCTGTGGGTCTCTGTGTAGGTCTCTGTGTAGGTCTCTGTGGGTCTCTGTGGGTCTCTGTGGGTCTCTGTGGGTCTCTGTGGGTCTCTGTGGGTCTCTGTAGGTCTCTGTAGGTCTCTGTGGGTCTCTGTGGGTCTCTGTGGGTCTCTGTGGGTCTCTGTGTAGGTCTCTGTGTAGGTCTCTGTGTAGGTCTCTGTGTAGGTCTCTGTGTAGGTCTCTGTGGGTCTCTGTAGGTCTCTGTAGGTCTCTGTGGGTCTCTGTGGGTCTCTGTGTAGGTCTCTCTGTGGGTCTCTATCGGTATCTATGTGTCTATCTATCTCTACGCATCTCGATGTGTCTCTATGTATCTCTATTGGTAACTATGTGTCTTTGTATCTCGAGGGGCCTCTGTATCTCTATTGGTTATCTACGTATCTCGACGAGTCTCTATGTGTCTCTGTGTGTCTCTGTGTGTCTCTATGTATCTCTATTGGTATCTATCTCTACGCGACTCTGTGTGTCTCCATGTATCTCGAGGGGCCTCTCTGTCTCCTGCCGGAGGCTGTGACAGGAAGTCCGGTTCGGTGGAGACGCTCCGATCCCCCCGCCTCAAATAAACGTCGGCTCTCTCCGAGGGAGCATTTCCCCTCTTAAAAACTCGGCCACTTCTTACCAATCGCCCTCCACCACCCATCCACCCACCCACCCACCCACCGCGCCGTTGTCACCGATGTAAGGCGCCTTGAGATCGTACGATGGAAGCCACGGTAACGGTAATAATTACTGTTATTATTCTTCTAAGCGGAGTCCCACGAGGTTAAGCAACCCAAAAAGCATTCCAGATATTTTGTCTTAACAGCTCACTTCTCAAATCCACCCGGGGGGCTGCCGCGCTAATTTGCCCGCGTGCTCTCTCGCTCTGTGTGTGTGTAAGTTCACATGCTCTGTGTGTGTGTGTGTGTAAGTTCACATGCTCTGTGTGTGTGTGTGTGTAAGTTCACATGCTCTGTGTGTGTGTGTGTGTAAGTTCACATGCTCTGTGTGTGTGTGTGTGTGTAAGTTCACATGCTCTGTGTGTGTGTGTGTGTAAGTTCACATGCTCTGTGTGTGTGTGTGTGTAAGTTCACATGCTCTGTGTGTGTGTGTGTGTAAGTTCACATGCTCTGTGTGTGTGTGTGTGTAAGTTCACATGCTCTGTGTGTGTGTGTGTGTAAGTTCACATGCTCTGTGTGTGTGTGTGTGTAAGTTCACATGCTCTGTGTGTGTGTGTGTGTAAGTTCACATGCTCTGTGTTGTGTGTGTGTGTAAGTTCACATGCTCTGTGTGTGTGTGTGTGTAAGTTCACAGGCTCTGTGTGTGTGTGTGTGTGTAAGTTCACATGCTCTGTGTGTGTGTGTGTGTAAGTTCACATGCTCTGTGTGTGTGTGTGTGTAAGTTCACATGCTCTGTGTGTGTGTGTGTGTAAGTTCACATGCTCTGTGTGTGGGTGTGTGTGTAAGTTCACATGCTCTGTGTGGTGTGTGTGTGTAAGTTCACATGCTCTGGTGTGGTGTGTAAGTAATGGTGTGTGTGTGTGTAAGTTCACATGCTCTGGTGTGTGTGTGTGTGTAAGTTCACATGCTCTGTTGTGTGTGTGTGTGTAAGTTCACATGCTCTGTGTGTGTGTGTGTGTGTAAGTTTCACATGCTCTGTGTGTGTGTGTGTGTGTAAGTTCACATGCTCTGTGTTGTGTGTGTGTGTGTAAGTTCACATGCTCTGGTGTGTGTGTGTGTGTAAGTTCACATGCTCTGTGTGTGTGTGTGTGTAAGTTCACATGCTCTGTGTGTGTGTGTGTGTAAGTTCACATGCTCTGTGTGTGTGTGTGTGTAAGTTCACATGCTCTGTGTGTGTGTGTGTGTAAGTTCACATGCTCTGTGTGTGTGTGTGTTAAGTTCACATGCTCTGTGTGTGTGTGTGTAAGTTCACATGCTGTGTGTGTGTGCAAGTTCGAATTCGCAGCTCCTCTCTGTGTGTGTGTACGTTCAAATGCTCAGCTCCTCTTTGTCTCTCTGTGTCTCTCTGTGTCTCTCTGTGTCTCTCTGTGTCTCTCTGTGTCTCTCTGTGTCTCTCTGTGTCTCTCTGTGTCTCTCTGTGTCTCTCTGTGTCTCTCTGTGTCTCTCTGTGTCTCTCTGTCTCTCTGTGTCTCTCTGTGTCTCTCTCTGTCTCTCTGTGTCTCTCTCTGTCTCTCTCTGTCTCTCTCTGTGTCTCTCTCGACGCACGCGCGTGTACGTACGCACGCGCGTGTAGAACTTCTTTCGCACTGCACGTAGCCAACTGCGCTAATGCAGTTCAACAGAAGGGAGTCATCTTAAAAAGGGAACGCAAACGGCGTTCAGCCATCGGGGCACTGCGGATCGCAGCGACGGCGGGGTGAACATTTACGTCGTGTGCGATCGGTCACCCTCTCGTGCAAACTAAGTAGTGAAAAAACAAATCGAACCTTCATTGTTTTGTTCCCACGGCTATTTTTTTTTTAAAATCGTCAGCCGCGCGCCAAAAAAACGCGACCTCGGCTCAAAATCTGGCGCGGGACCCTTGGACCGGGAGAGGCCCACGGCGATAACGGCTTTGCCGTCAAGAGGCGGGGGGGGGGGGGGCGGGGGGGGGGGGGGGGGGGTACGGCAAAAAGAAAACTCGGCAAACACGGCGGCGAGAAAGCAAACGGAGCGCGGCTCGATACGCGACCGGCCCCGGGTGGTTATCGCCCAGAACCCGTCGGAGGAACGTCACGGCAAAACGGACTCATAAAGCGAGCGCGGGACCGAACATTTTTTAAAAATGAAACCAAGCGGACAATACGCCACCGAACCCCCCTCTCTCTCTCTCCCCTCCATGCCGCTCGCCTCCGGGTGGAATGATTTGGGGCAATAAAGCAGGTTAGCATTTGTGCGCTGCGTTGTTCTTTTCCTTCCTAGTCTTCTTCGGCTAGGAGAGGAAAGTGGAGAATTCAGAGGAGATCCAACGCAGGATGAGGATGAAGGCCGCTTTTGTTGCGATCGAAACGCCGTGGGTTTTTTGCTTTTATGATTTTCAATTTACTATTTTTTTATTTAAATTTACTTAATTTTATTATCTGTTATTTTTTATTTTACTTTCTGTCTACGTGACTTTACCGAAAGAACCTGCAGTCACGAAAGTTTGAAGTCAAAACTTAGGGGGGTGGGGAAAACTTACAAAATCCACACAAGCAAGGCGCCGCCCCGAGTCGAACCCAGGCCATTCTTGCCGTGAGGCAACAGGTGTGGAGGCTTTAGCAACGCCCCAGCTGTCACCCAAACCCGGATTTCCCGTGGGACTGAAACCAACATTTTTAATCGGTTAATTCTCAGGGCCGGATTCTCTGGTATTTGCACGAAATTCTGTCACAGACCACATTTTTGTCCGTGCAGCCATTGCTCATCGAGCCGAGACCATCGATTCTCTACGCTCAAGAATTTGTATCAACCGCAACGCAAGTCCGTGCGAGTCTCGGGGGTCTGCAGGAGTTTCCATGGATCACCATGGGATCTCCATACATCTCCATGGGTCTCCATGTGTCTCCATGTGTCTCCATGTGTCTCCATGGGTCTCCATGTGTCTCCATGCGTCTCCATGCGTCTCCATGGGTCACCATGGGTCTCCATGTGTCTCCATGGGTCTCCATGTGTCTCCATGGGTCTCCATGTGTCTCCATGTGTCTCCATGTGTCTCCATGGGTCTCCATGGGTCTCCAAGGGTCTCCATGTGTCTGCATGGGTCTCCATGCGTCTCCATGCGTCTCCATGGGTCTCCATGGGTCTCCATGGGTCTCCATGGGTCTCCATGCGTCTCCATGCGTCTCCATGCGTCTCCATGTGTCTCCATGGGTCTCCATGGGTCTCCATGGGTCTCCATGGGTCTCCATGGGTCTCCATGGGTCTCCATGGGTCTCCATGGGTCTCCAAGTGTCTCCATGGGTCTCCATGTGTCTCCATGTCTCTCCAAGTGTCTCCATGTCTCTCCATGTGTCTCCATGTGTCTCCATGGGTCACCATGGGTCACCATGGGTCACCATGGGTCTCCATGCGTCTCCATGGGTCTCCATGGGTCTCCATGGGTCTCCATGGGTCTCCATGGGTCTCCGAGTCCCATTGGGTCTCCATGGGTCTCCGAGTCCCATTGGGTCTCTTTTCACACTGCGGTTGGGCGACTGCAACCCGGATTTGAACCCAGGGGCGTCAGACGGCCGTCAGGTGCAAAAATGCCACGGGCTTTCTTTTGTGCACGCTCCATTGGTCAATATTGGTTCGCGGTTTTTTTCCCCCCCGTTAAAT